GGGGGGGGGCTAAAAAAAAGGGGGAGCCTGGCAAGGTAACCATGGGGGAGGTCACGTAGGTGGTAACGAGCCGGGGCAGGCCTCGGCCGGAGGAGGGTGGCAGTGCAGGTTTAGCATCAGTTCCTGTCACTGTTCACAGCTTCTCTAAGATGAGTGGAGAGGCTCGGCCGGGCCTGGAAGGCAGAGTCCGGAAAGCACTGAGGAAGGTCTTCGGGTTTGAGTCCTTCAAGACTTCCCTGCAGGAAAGCGCGACCATGACTGTGGCCAGAGGTGAGGCTCAGTATCAGAAAGATGTGAAACGTGTCTGGTTTTCCATCTTCCTTTGAGGGTGGTACTGCAGGAGTTGGTATCACACCTGTTTTGAGGAGACAGATCACCCGGACTGGGCAGGACCACCCGGCACTCCAAACCCTCCTAGGCTTCCTGTGCTCCGAGATCATTTCAGTGGCATAGGAGCGTAAGCCTGTGCTGTGCAGAAGCTCTCTGACCATGGCCTTGCCCTGCCTGTTCTCCTTTGCATTTGGTCTGTAACCCCACTTTTGCATCAACCAGAAAAGAGGAAACAAAGTACAGTCTTGCTGGTATCTCCACTGGAGGCATCTGCCAGTGAGTTTACGGTCAGATGAGGTCAAAACTGTTTACATTTATACATTTTAAGAGTAAACCTGTCCTTGTTGTAGATGATGTTAGACAGAGATGATGCCAGTAGAAGACTTGATTTCCTGGCATAATTTGTATCTGTTCTCTGAATCGTGTGGCCGCTATCAGAAACATGATTTTGCTGCTGTTAACGTAACCACCAACATACCGTTGTTGGTTGGACAGGCAGCTGACACAGACAAACTGCCAACCGCCAGGTCCCCTGGCAGGTCTCACAATGTGAAGCAGAACAGTGTCAAACTCATCACTCAGGACATCGTTACAGTTTTCATCTGTTGCCAGCAGCTATGCAGACGTGCTATTGACAACAAACTGGCCAAAAGCGGTGTTCTGTCAGCCTCTGCCTATTACCATTGCACGCACTGGCATCACCCTGACTTGAAGTGGTCACTGCTTAGTGCGGTAACAGTTACTAACTGCATGATGCTGTCTATGTGGTTGAGATTTCCAACCCTTATTTCTTATGAGGTATCTTTGTGGGATAAGCTTTAAGAGGATGTGGTAAAGATCTCTCGTGGGGCTGGTAATTTGGTAACTGGAGGTCTGTAAGATGAAAGCAAGCAGCTTGTGTGGAAAAAAATTAGTAGGAATAATTTGTTTAACTTCTCTTTATCTTGGTTTCTGTGTATCTTCTGGTACTTTTGTAAGGCTGTTTCTAAATGTTTACAAAGCAATTAGAGATCCTTTGAAGGAAACCATTGCAGGCACGAAAAGTATTGCTACGCTTTTAGAACCTAAAATGAAGTGTCTTTTGTTGGCATGCCACACGGTACACACACACACATGCTGTTTGTCACAGATTACAAGCCATTTCACCCACCCCTCCAGACAGAGCCCTGGGAACTCGCCTCCACTCAGTAGCCTTGAGCTGTCTTCTGTTGTCTTTGCAGGCGAGAAGGATGTCTTTGTATGCATGCCCACAGGGGCAGGGAAATCCTTGTGCTACCAGCTTCCTGCAGTTCTGGCAGTGGGCATCACCATTGTCATTTCACCTCTGATTGCACTGATTCAGGTAACTGTCTCCTGTTAGCTGTGGAAAAGCAGTCAGTGAAGGGGGTCGGGAGACGCTGGAGGCACAGCTGTCTCTTGTCTTTCTGTCCATGAGTCTCTGCTGTTGGCCTGCCTCTGGATTCTCATCTTGATGTCTCGATGTGTTTTCCTTACCCTGGTGATAGGTGAAGAGACTGCAACTTAGCTGCAGAGCAGAGTAACTCTGGTATGATACTATGCAGTTTTCTAAAAGGAGTTTTTTCTTCTTCGATAATAACCTGGTGGTTTTTATAACTGTGCCTTTCTCCATTTTCTCCATTTGTCTTTTACCTCCAGTATGCTATGCAGAAGCAACAAAGTACAGTACCTCAAATGGATCAAACTGGATCTTTGCCCAGACAAAAACTGCGATTTTGCCTACAAAGTAGTAACTTCGGGAATGATGAAGTTGCCTTTGAAGGCATAATTTGTTCTGCATCAAAATGTGTTTTTGTTGCAGTCAGTATTTCTGTCATGGGAAGAAGCTGGTTTAGCAGAGCTGCTCCTTGAGCTCTTCCATCTGAGATTTTTTTTTTTCCCCCTGTTTTGTCTTTTCTACTGTTTCATCACCTGTTGGGCGAAACATTCCCTGTAAGAGCAGCTGTAGCATTGCTTAGACTTCTGTAAAGCATCTGATTAGCGTTGCATGATATCTGGTGTTGTAGGCTGCTGGTTTGGGTTTTGGTTTTTGTGGATTTTTTAACTCCTTTACAGTCTCGATGTAATACGCATTAAGAATTAAGAGCAGACTTCGTGATATAGCTCAGAAAGGTGCTATAAATAGTGAATTGGTTTAACGTGCGAGGATTTCTGATTAAGCTCCAGTGCAGGCAATATTTATTGGTGAAACGGAGGTTAAAAAAATTACCATTGGCAGGATTTGCAAGTGAAGCAGAATGTGTCAGAGTGACAAATAGGTTGAGATGGGCTCAATCAACAGAGCTGGAGTGAACCTTCAGAGGTCTTCTCACCAAGCCCTGAGACAGGATGGCTGTGCCTGAAACGATCATGATGTATTTCAGTGTAGCTGGACTTCAAGACCTTAGTCTGTGTAGTTTATTATAGGGAAGGCTGAGAGTTGACTTTGTGAACAGGAAACGGTGGATATTAAATCAATCACTGAAACTGGTTATTGAGTGAAATAATGAGATATCAATTTTTCAGGAATATTCATATCCTCTGCAATGTTGTGTGGTAGTCAAGTGCAAGTGAGCAGCTCAGTGTAAGGGTAGGGAGGTGAATTTGTATGCCCAGGGTTCATCTGGATGTGATGCCGTGTTTTCTTCACAGTTTTCATGGCATGATTCTCATCCAGACTTGGTTCTGTTGCAGTGGTGATTTGCATGATTCTTGTATTTTGTCCTGTCTCAGCTTTGTTTATAACATCCTTTAGCTATTTTGGAATTAAATGCACTCTGTTATTGTAGGGTGGTGGTATTCGTTTTCCATCTGTGACAACTTGATCATGTAAATCCTGAGATGCGTTGGTGGCTTGTCTCAGCTCGCTGTGGCTATGATGAGTTATTTTGCACAGATCCCTGCTGGTGTTCCCTAGCAGCAAACAGACTGTCTTAAAGTGAATGGATGCACAAAATGCAGTTGGATGTTAGAGCTGGACAGATATGCTCACAGTTGAAGATAAAGGCATCTAGAGTTGACGGTCTAAATACCCTGAGTGTAGGTGTATGTTGTCCTGAGACTTGATCCTGGATCTGGAAGTTGGGGCCTCACCTGGATCTCCCTAGTAGTCTGGCTTGCTAATGGTGACTTTCTTTATATCCATTTGCTTTTAATTTAATTTTCATTTTGTATTTACTCTAGGATCAAGTGGATCACTTGCTGGCTCTGAAGATCAAAGCCTGCTCTTTGAACTCCAAGCTTTCTGCCCAGGAAAAGAAGACCATCCTGGCTGATTTAGCAAGTGAGAAGCCCCAAGTAAAGCTCCTGTACATCACCCCAGAGATGGCAGCCGCCTCTTCCTTCCAGCCTACGCTGAACTCCCTGGTGTCCCGAAACCTCTTGTCCTACCTGATAATTGATGAAGCGCACTGCGTCTCCCAGTGGGGACACGATTTCCGACCTGACTACCTACGGCTGGGCACCTTGCGCACTCGCATACCCAATACACCGTGTGTTGCCCTGACTGCCACTGCCACCAAGCAGGTCCAGGAGGACATTGTGGCAGCACTTAAGCTAAAGCAGCCACTTTCCACATTTAAAACTCCTTGCTTCAGATCTAACTTGTTCTATGATGTGCAGTTCAAAGAGCTCTTGACTGATCCATACGCCAACCTGAAGGATTTCTGTCTGAAGGCGCTTGAAGTGAAGAACACCACTGGGGTAGGTTTTACACTTGGGGAAGAAGGATAAACTGAACAAAATCTATCTTAATGGCCACTGGCCTTGCAGTGGTTGGTACAGCCCCAACAGGTCTGTGGCAGGGATGGAGGAGGTCCCTGGAAGGAAAGTGCTAATGAGTATTTTTTAGTTCCTCTAAAAGTGTTCATGTATGGTTTTTAGTTCCTCTAAAATAGGTAGAATGTGAAGGCTGCCCTCAGAAAGGGGTTGGTCTAAAAGAAAATGGATGAGGAATATGTGACTAGCA